ATCGACAGATGAATGGATAAAGAAGATGTGGTGCATATATACAATGGAATATTACTCAGCCAATAGAAAGGATGAAATCTTACCATACACATCAACATGGACGGAACTGGAGGGTATTATGCTGAGTGAAATAAGTCAATCAGAGAAAGACAATTATCATATAGTTTCATGCCTATGAGGAATATAAGAAACAATGCAGAGGATCATAGGGGAAGGGAGGGGAAAAATGGAATGGGAAGAAATCAGAGAGGAAGACAAACCATGAGACACTCTTTTAACTATGGGAAAGAAACTGAGGGTTGTTGGAGGGGAGGTGGGAAGGGAGATGAGGTAACAGGATGACAGGCATTAAGGAGGGCACGTGATGTGATGAGCACTGGGTGTTATATGCAACTAAGGAATTACTGCATTCTACATCTGAAACTAATGATGTTCTATATGTTGACTAATTGAATTTAAATTAAAAAAAAGGTGAGTTTCATGGGCCTGATGTGGTTTCCTGATAATGTGGGGAGCTTCTTTGCATAAGGAGCCTAAAATTGATGTGATGGTGGTGGCTTCCATGTATTACTATCCACATTTCTTTGATGAGTCTTCCTAATCAGTTCTTTTGGTCCTCTCCTTTAGGACCCAGAGCCAGTCCTGCTATATGCACAGAGCAGATAAATTTTCTTCCATTCTTCCAAAATAAATAGAAGCCCTTGAATGGATAGTCCCTCAATGTCTCAGTCTTCCCTCACCACCAACTGGAAATAACCACAGACACAAATCATTAAGTTCTAGCTCTCAGTTTAGAACAGGTGTTCCACCCTCTCTCAAAGTTTAATCATTATCTGTGCTCAACATTTTATGCCTTTTAGGATCTTGATCACCTTTTTTGTCTTGGATTTTCAAAATGATAGTAGAAGTAAATCCCACAACTACAGCAGAAACAATGAGCAGGCTTTAGATAAGGCTGTACAGACCAGAGGTGGATGGCAGGAGAAAAAGGAATGATTCAAAGAAAGTCAGGAAAAGGAAGATAAATTATCTGCTTGACCACTGACCATAACTGAATTGAAATTATAGAATTTACTAATCTGGTAGAGTGGGTGGGAAGATATGCCATAGTTTTAAAAACAAGTAAGCAAATTA